CTGGGACATCAAAACCCTGATCCTGTTCCAGAGTGAAATCGCTGAAAACTATACCCTGTTCCAGAGTAAAATCACTGAAAACTATACCCTGTTCCAGAGTAAAATCGCTGAAAACAATATCCTGTTCCAGAAAAAATCTTGTACTAGCTTGCGTGTAGACCGAATTTTTACCCCTTGAATTTTTAAACGCGGAGCGGACGACTCGCACCGGCTTCGCGGGCGCGCCATAGGTCTCTGGAGTGTAGAAATGAATTTTATCAAGTAGACTTTATAGGCCGTATTCTGTGGTCGATTATCGTTCAGTTTCGCTGCCCACATCACAAACTACTTTGAAATCACATAAATTTATAGTTTTTTACTTACTGAATGCAAATCTGCTTGTTTTCACTTCTAAAAACCTGCAGTTTTTTCAYAAAGGCCTTCGAAAGTACGATAAAATTCTCTAGTAATTTCCCTATCCGCCATCTTGTTTTTGTTTGAATAACCGCTGACCTTCGGCTCACATTTGAAAATTTCCGGTGACTAAAAGTGGCATAAAAGGGCTCTGTTTCAGTCAATTTCTTATGGTATCATTAATGATTATCCATTTTTAATGATTATTAGATGTTTTTCAAAAAAAAAAGAAACAAAATCATGAAAACTATAGTAAATTAATGCTTCTATGGGTTAAAATGTTAAATTTTGGTGTGTGAATCGAATTCATGTTAATCTTTTAAAAAGTCGAAAAGTCTCCCTTTCTCATCTTCGGAACATGTCACAAGGATCAGAAAATTCCTCTTTTTTGTCCTCCTCCAAGGCTTCATTTTGAACTTTGTTACAATCGACTCGACCACAGCAGCCACGCACGCACATGTCAGGGACAGCGCCACATATTTTGGATCTAGATATAGGGGTCTAACAATCACCAATTTTGAAATAATAACTCTTGGAAATGTATGCGATTTCCAGCGATTCGAGAGACATCGAGGGCATATAAAAGGAATCATTTTTATGTGAATTTTTCAGTTTTTGTCAAAATTTTTCCTTGTTTCCTTGCCACTAGTACGCACATGCGTATAAGGAAAAGGTGTTGGGTGCTAATCGTCGTTCATGGCAGCATGGGTGCTGAATTGCGAAAGACGCAGCTCGACGCGCTCTCAAGTCGAAGTGCTATATTACAGACACGTATTACATACACTTACACATAGGCGTGCTGCTGGCTAGTACTAAGGTCCCAACCAAGTTTCGTCGATAATTCTCTGTAATGTTCTGTTTATTAAATGACATTGGTGTAAGCAAAAGTGTGTAACATTTTCATTATAAGATCAAAAATTTTGAACATTTCAAGAACATATTAATTATTAATTTATGATTTATGCATGATTGAATAATACCAAAACTGCATTTATATTATTTTATGATTCCTGTAAAGATTGAAAAATACCAACTATTAAGAATTTACAAAACAAATTGCAAACAATTTCAATCTATTGACATATAAAGATGCATTTGTTATTATTTTTATTACCGTATTTCTGCATGATTGAAAAATTTCAACTGCCAATTCAAAATGCATTTAATAATATACACCTACTTGCAGAAACGTTGTCATAGAAAATAGAACATTCGAATTTAGTAAAAAGGAATAAATTAAAACAAGACAAAAGAGAGCGTTCAGCCTCAGTGATCTTCTTTTGTCTTTTTTAATTTATTCCTTTTTACTAAAATACAAATGTCCTATTTTTTTATGACAACGTTTTCGCAAGTAGGTGTATATATTTTTAGAAACTTTTTATTTTCCTGGCAAAAATTCTTAGAAAACATTCCTTGTCTGGAGAATTCTTTTTCCCTGAATTTCCGCTGGCAACCAGTTGTGACTTACAGCTTGCTGGGACATAAGAACAGATATATTTCTTGCAGGAACCCGTCAGCTCCTCCTAACAATCATCGCACATTCTTGACTTTCTAAGCCGAAATCATTTTTCATTAAAAATTCTCATGACAATGTATACCAAAATTTCCATTGCAGCAATGACCAGCTGGTTTCATATTTCCTACAAGATTGCTATCCCTATCATTGTCATAATGCAGCCCATTGTTTTCCTTGTATGTTATTCGTTACTGGAAAACCGACGACAAAATGTACGAATGGGCTACCGATCGATCACAGAGCACAACCGAGATCAACCGAGCACAAACAACAATG